CGAACCGGCCAGCCGCGGAGGAGGCCGCCGAGGCCTTTCCTCGCGGCGGCCTCCCACCGCCTAGCGCTTAGGCGCGATTTTTGCAACATATTATCATCACCTGGTACAAAGTTAGCTTCAACATCTTGAAAAATATCTGGTAGTATGAACTCTGGATCTTGATCAATGAATCTAAAACCGGGATCACCAATTGTGCTTTTCCTTACGTAGTTGTGCAGTGCAAAACATGAGCAAATAAGTCTATTTTGATCCATTAATGAATATATCGGCATCTTTTGCAATATCTTCCACCGAGCCTTAAGAACACCAAAAGCCCTCTCAATGCAACTTCGTAAAGATGAATGAGCTCGATTAAATATTTCTTGAGATCACCTTGGGTTAGCTCCATGAAACTCTGATTGATGGTATCTAGTCTTAGAGTAAGGTGTCAAATATCCATTTCTTTCCGTGAAGCCTTTATCCACCAAGTAATACTTTCCTAAATGTATATAAAAATAAAAGTTAACAAATTATAAGTATATTTAACCGTAATAGTAATTAATGAAACGAACTTTTTAAACTACCTTGTGGTGGTTTACGGAATTTCATACTTGGATTACTAATCATGTCGAGAAAAATGCGAGCATCATGTGCTGATCCCTCCTATCCTGTTAAAACATATATGAATAACAGATCAAAGTCACATGCTGCTAAGACATTGGTAGTTGGAAAATCCCTTCCCTTCCTCTATATCTCATTTGATCTTCCTCTCTTACGGTTATTGCAATATGTGTGGCATCAATAGCTCCAATGCAGTTCTAATTTTAGGAAAAAAGTGCATATATTAATTAACATATTGATGTAACAAATATATAGATAAAAATGAGATGAACAACATATTAATTCACTTACTTTAAAATGTGGCATATATCTATTATCATTAGCAATTTTTGGCGGGATCTCCTTGAACTCATAATCTTTTGGTACAAGCATATCTCTTCAGAATCCATCCATAGCATTCAACACTTCTTTAATAATTCTACTCACAGTTTCACCGGAATGTTGAAAGCGTTCTTGAGTATATCTATTAGAAGCACCCTTACTAAGCACATATACAAATATACCAAGTTTCTCTAAAGTTGAGATCCTATTTGAAGATCTCAAACCATACTTGTTTTCTAAATCTACACATAAATGACGAAATGTAATTGGATTCATTCTAAATACATTAAAACACCGTTTCTCATGACCATTCATTAATTCATTCATCCATCTTTCTCCCGTTAAACTTAAAGTCATGCATGGCTCCTTGTAAATATGCTTCAAAAAGTATACACACATATACTCGGTCATACAAGCCACCAAGTCCCAAAATTCATCCTCATTGTCCAAGTACTCCTTAATTATGATAAGTTTCCTAATTTGCTCAATATTATCCATCATGTGTTGTTGCCTACACACAAATTAGTATATTCATTATAGAACTCTCATTCATATACTTTTTAAAAACCATAAACAAATTACGTAGAATTTCCTACAATAAGAATTCATAATTGTTCATTAAATAAGAAATTGCATAACAGTTCATAATAGTTCATACAATAAGAAATTGCATAACAGTTCATAAAATAAGAAATTACATAAGAGTTCATAATATTTCATACAATTAGAACTTACATAAGAGTTCATAATAAGACATTACAATAAATTACATAACATTTTCTACAACAAAAGTTCATAACAGTTCATACATAATAGTACCAAAGCCAAAATACATAACACTACCAAAGCCAAAATACATAATAGTGTTAGACTAAATATATCACATGCATCATATAATATGTGATAACAGGACCGACTAACCTCCAGTCATAGTTCTTGAGACGGTTGAACGATCCGGACTGCTGCAGAGATAACGAGTATTTTGTCTCTCACTTTACTCAGCTCTCTCTAGATGGTGTATGAGGTATGTAATGTGAGCAGTGAGAGGACTAGTGACCTTATATAACCACTGGCCATCATTGTGGTTGATTGTCTTTAGGTCTCCTAAATCCTAACTAGAGTCCTAATCATAATGGTAGTCTAGCTATTAGGTTATTAGTGTTGCACCACATATCAAATACTGAATATTATCCTAACTTATCCTAATGTTATAATAATAGTAACGGATAAACGTTACATTCTCCCACTTGGTGCAAGCACTACCACTCAATAACAGAAAAACACCAACCATAATGATATGTCCTCATTAGCACGAGTAGTATCCATTATGATCAAATGCAAACTGCCATTGAGCACTTAATTAGGAAACAAAACCCAACAAAATAAACCCTATGTTTATTCCAAGTCCATGAAGTACATTTTCTCATCAATATGAAGCAAATGAAGGTGTACACACTTAATTGAGAAAATGTCTGAATGCCAAAGAATTTTATTGAAATTGAATGTATATACAAATCACAAAGTGGATGAAAGTCTCATTTCCTGAACCAGATCCTTGAATTTAACTGAAGGCATGCATTTAGTCAAGGGATCTGCTAACACCAACTCTGTATGAATGTGTTTAAAGAATACAACTTTATTTGTGACACGCTCCCTAATTGCTAAGAACTTGATGTCGATGTGCTTAATTCGACTCCCACTTTTGTGGTCTTAGCTAGGAAGACTGCAGCTGAGTTGTCACAGTAGACTTTCAATGGCTTAGATATAGAATCCATAATTCTAAGCCCAGAGATAAAATTCTTTAGCCAAACACCCTGTGAAGTTGCCTCGAAACTGGAAACGAACTCTGCTTCCATGGTAGAAGTAGCTATTACGGACTGTTTAACACTTCTCCATGAGATAGCCCCACTGGCCATAATAAAGACGCACCCTGAAGTTGATTTTCGAGAATCAGCACAGCCAGCAAAGTCCGCGTCTGAATAACCGACAACATCTAAATTGTCCGTCTGCCTAAACCCAAGCTTGTAACCTTTGGTTCCTTTGAGATACCTTAGAACCTTCTTTACAGCTCTCCAATGGTCTAATCCCGGATTGTGCTGGCAACGCCCTAGCATTCCAACAACAAAAGCAATGTCCGGCCTTGTATAGACTTGAATATATCGAAGACATCCAACAAGGGATGTTCTCCATGGATTCTTTCTAGTCATTTTCTGGACATTGGTCCAAACTGAATTTATCCCCCTTAGCTATGGGAGCAACGTTAGATGAACAATTTTACATATGAAATCTCTCTAAAACTTTGTTTATATAAGTTTCTTGAGATAAACCCAGTATACCCCGGGACCTATCTCTACGAATTTTAATGCCAATAACATAAGAGGCATCACCCATATCCTTCATTATTGATGGCCACTGAAGGGGAGAACGCCAATCCAAAAAAAAAAAAACGTTGTCTCCACCATCAATAAAAGCTCCAGCAAGTTCAAAATGGCTATGGGAATTCATGGAAAAAAAAAAAAATTGGCGTAGCAGTAGGGAAGATCATAACAAATTAGGAGTATCTAATTTTAATTTTTTTTTGTTTCTTAATGCGGATAAAAAAACTTAATTTTTCAGCAGCCCAGACATACAATTGTATACTAAAAAAACATTCGCATATGTAATTTCAATTATACAGCAAAGTATATAACATATGCAAATATTTAGCAATTAAAAAAAAAAACTAGGCAGAGATTATTTATGGCCTCTGATACCAACTGTTAGACTAAAAATATCACATGCATCATATAATATGTGATAACAGGACCAACTAACCTCCAGCCATAGTTCTTGAGATGGTTGAATGATCCGGACTGCTGCAGAGATAACGAGTATTTTGTCTCTCACTTTACTCAGCTCTCTCTAGATGGTGTATGAGGTATGTAATGTGAGCAGTGAGAGGACTAGTGACCTTATATAACCTCTGGCAGTCATTGTGGTTGATTGTCTTTAGGTCTCCTAAACCCTAACTAGACTCCTAATCATAATGGTAGTCTAGCTATTAGGTTATTAGTGTTGCACCACATATCAAATACTGAATATTATCATAACTTATGCTAATGTTATGATAATAGTAACGGATAAACGTTACAAATAGTTCATACATAACAGTACCAAAGCCAAAATACACAATACTACCAAATCCAAAATACATTATAGTTCATGCATAACCATTAATGCTTGTTTTCTTTCTCATACAAGAACTTGATGTAGTCAACTCTCACCTTAACATCTGGTAATCCAAAGATAACAGATCTTTTTTTGTGGATCTTCAATTAACATGCAAGCAAAGAAAAATTCAGGGGTGCCGGGCAAAACATACAATTTTGCCAATGCATCCGTAATTTCATTAGGACTTGGGTTTTTTATTGAAGTCAAAATATCCTTAAGTGACATATTCACCTCCTTAGATACATCACTTCTTTCTCCAATAAGTTGCAACATACTTTCAAGTTTGTCACTCAACATTGCACCAGCTCCTCCTTTTTTAGTGGTTTCAGTCTTAGCACTCTTACTACTTGGTAAAGAATTAACCTCTAAAACCCTCTTACCTCTACTTTTTTCACTTCTCTCAAATTGTGTATCATGAGGGCTAGCCATAGACTTTTTCCACACATCATCCCATGTATTATAATCATTATCATCACCATGAGTCTCATCCATCTCACCAAGATCAACATGGGGAGTATCATTGCAAGGTGGGGAAGGAACATACACTTCATCACTTTCATGTTGCAAATGTCCTTGTGGGGAATCAAATATTGGACTAAATTTAAGTGCTCCTTGAGCATAACAACCAAAAATTTGATCCATATTAGTTTCTAGTTCAAATTCAAAGCCTTCTTCCCGAAAAGCCTCAAACTTTGGATTTTCCTTAATTTTCAAATCCCACCACTCATCAGTAGCACTAATAGTTCCCTTCTCAGGATCCCATCCTAATCCGGTCTCTCTTCCTTTGAGTTGTTTCCACAAACCTCATCTAACTGTCATCCAATCTACCTTGTTTTTTAGTTCATTTTATCCCATTCAAGGTTTGTTTGTTTTTGAAATTCTACTTCTATCTTCTTCCACACTAACCTTTGAGATGTTACTCCACCGCTTTTCCCTTTACTTTTTTCAACGTATTGTATACAAAGATCACAAAGAAGGTGAAGCTGTTCTTTTGACCAACTAACCCTGCCCAAATCTTTACCACGTTGGTTTTCATCTTTGTTCTCACTTCGACCTTCATGTACATTTTTTTTCGATTTGGTGCCATCTAGGTAACATAATAATAAATTAGTGTTTACTCATGACATTCCATACTCAAAGTAGACTCAATGATAATATGAATCACAAAGACCTCTAACACAAAGAACTACTTCAAAATTAAAATACATAACTAACAGAAGATTAGCAAGATAATTTATACAATGAAAAGTGATTAGCAATAATAAAAACTAATTAGTAATAATTGGAAGTGATTAGCAATAATTGGAAGTAATTCGAAATAACATAATTACTTTTCTGTCTAAGATGGATGTTCAGTTAATTGAATATATTTCCCTCTGCAATAATATACTAATTCAGTTCACATGAAATCATGAATACAATATAGTTTCAATTTTTTTTTTGTTAATATTCGATTAATGAAATTTTCCTTCATTTATTGGTGCAGTGTTCATTTGATGATGTTGATGTTTCAATGAATCTGCAACTTCCAACATATGACCCCTGGTTCAAGAAAAAGAAGGTTGGAGTTTTTAAAGCATTTTATTACCCTTATATCACACAATCCTTTATTCTTTCGTAATTTGCTTTAACATTTTCTTTTTATGTTTATGATATGATTATTTTTCCTTCTTAGAAACTATGGAGTACATGGGTTCTAATTCACTGGGTAAAGTTTTAATACCGCTGATCAGCTAAAACAGAGGGAGAGCCCTAAAAATTTTCTCTGTGTCTGCTGGGTTAATTACACTGTCATCCTAACCCTCAAATGGAGCTCTACTTCAAGAGCAAACACATGAGAAGTCTGCCAATCGTGTTAATCACAAGTGTAGCAAAGAAATGGCACACGAAAAAGAAAATCTAGACTACAAATTGAAGAGAAATTCTGCGGAAATAAGATATAATGAGGGGATGAATTTACCTTGGAGAGAAGCAACGACCGGTAGTTGATTGGAGAAGGTAGTTGCGAACATGAAGGGGTGGATCGCAAGCAGACGACGTGACACGAAGAACTGAGCGAAGGAGGCGGTGAGAACTAAGCGAAGAGTCGGACGAGCAATGATGAGAACTGCGCGAAAGATTATGGCTTTAGAAGGATAGCATTGCCATTTTACAAATCTATATCTATATCGATATATATATAAAAGTAAAATCCTCCTAACAAATTTTCCCCCCAAAACTTTTGTAGTAAAACTTATTTGGTAAATAAATGTCAAATGGAAATTAAATAAATAAATAATAATAATAATAATAATAATAATAATAATAATAATAATAATAATAATAATAATAATAATAATAATAATAATAATATAATAATAATAATAATAATAATAATAATAATAATGTTATTACCTTAAATAAATAAATTATTATACTTTCCCTTAAATAAATAAATTATTATACTTTCCTTTTGAATTAGTATTTTCTACCTATAAATACAAGAGCTTCTTCAATCAAAGAATCTCATACTCATCTTTCTGCTTTCTTTTTGTGTGAATTTTCTACATTTTTCTAACTATATTCTCACGTACTTCAATATGTTTTGCAGTTTGGACATCATGAATAGCTTCATCAACGATATCTTCTTGAAGCTCGCCCAAGAGGTGACTCGCTTGGCCCACTACAACAAGAAGCCGATAATCACTTCCCGCGAGATCCAGGCCGGCATGAGATTGGTTCTTCCTGGCAAATTGGTAAAGCACGTTGTCTCTCTAAAAACACTAAAGCAGTCACCATATTTACATGCTCTTAGATGAAATCATTTAAATCTATGTTTCCTTTTTATATAATCTCAATTAGGGATTAATAGATGTAAAGTAACTTGGATTTGAGTTTAATTTCATATTATTCTTCCAAAAGGTTTAATTTCATATTATAAGTATTGTTATCTACCTTCAACTATCAGTGAATCGATTAGCATTCTCAAAAAAAAAAAAAAAAAAAAAATTTGAATGTCTATATCTACGTGCATTTAAGATGCAACATGTGTATGATTCATTAGGCTTTGAGGCAGGAGAACACATCTGGGTACATTGCATATTAGTGGATCTGTATCTCATTGCAAAAAGATATCCATACAATTAATTAATTAATATAATTACAATTATCATTATTCTAATTCAAAAAAAAAAAAACTAAAGAATTAATTGTAATAATGAAATTTGTTATTAATATTCTATTACTAAATTGACACAGAAATCAGACTAAAAGAAAAATGAAATTAATATTAAAAATGGACTCGAATTAAAAAAAAATGTGCTTAATAAGTAAATAACTAATTTGCTAGACAGAAAATTAGGGTAAAGGAAAAAGAAAATGATTATTAAACATTGTACCAGATTGTTCTTATGATTGAAAATGAATATTACAAACGTACCAGATTGTTTTTATGACCAGAAATAAGAATGAATTTTACACACGAGAATCTATTATTAATATTCTGTTATACTAATAGGCATGGGAATCATGCCAAATGAAAAAAGGATTTAATATTAAAAATTTATTGGAAATATAACACAGTTTTCCCTACGAAAAAATTAGTAACCACCAAATGAAATATTAGGAAAAAATTATGAAGAAAAAAGAAATGGAAACAAATATTAACTCTTTCTATGAATGAAAAAAGGAAATGAATATATCCATATTTCACTTAAAATATAATCAGTAATTATATTATTATAATTATATTAATTATTTATGAAGAAAAAAGGAAATGAATATGAAAGGAAAAAAATAAAATTTAGACACGAAAATCTATTATTAATATTCTGTTATACTAACAGACACGGGAATTAGGCCAAATGAAAAAAAAAAAGATTTAATATTAAAAAATTATTGAAAATATAACACCGTTTTCCCTACGAAAAAATTAGTAACCACCACGTGAAATATTAGAAAAAATTATGAAGGAAAAAGAAATGGAAATGAATATTAACTCTTTCTATGAGTGAAAAAGGAAATGAATATATTCATATTTCACTTAAAAAATAATCAGTAATTATATGATTATAATTATATTAATTATTTATGAAGGAAAAATGAAATGAATATATTAATAGTTTACTGGAAATAAAATCTGTAATTATATTTTTTATAATTATATTATTTTTTAATTATGTGGAAATGAATATTAATTCTTTTTATGAACGAGAAAGGAAATGAATATTTCACAAAGAAATCTGTTATTAATATCATGTTACTAATCGACATGGAAATCAGGCCAATTAATCGAATCATGCCAAATGAAAAAAGGATTTAATATTAAAAATTTATTGGAAATATAACACAATTTTCCCTACAAAAAAAATTAGTAACCACCAAATGAAATATTAGGAAAAAATTATGAAGAAAAAAGAAATGGAAACAAATATTAACTCTTTCTATGAATGAAAAAGGTAATAAATATATCCATATTTCACTTAAAATATAATCAGTAATTATATTATTATAATTATATTAATTATTTATGAAGGAAAAAGGAAATGAATATGAACAGAAAAAAATGAATTTTACACACGAGAATCTATTATTAATATTTGTTACTAATAGACACAGGAATCAGGCCAAATGAAAAAAAGATTTAATATTAAAAATTTATTGAAAATATAACACCGCTTTCCCTACGAAAAAATTAGTAACCACCACATGAAATATTAGGAAAAAATTATGAAGGAAAAAGAAATGGAAATGAATATTAACTCTTTCTATGAGTGAAAAAGGAAATGAATATACTCATATTTCATTTAAAATATAATCAGTAATTATATGATTATAATTATTATACTTATATTAAATATTAATTATTTATGAAGGAAAAATGAAATGAATATATTAATATTTTATTGGAAATATAATCAGTAATTATATATATTTTTTTTAAAAAAAAAACCCTGTATATCCTCCAGAACACATAACTAAACAAAATTCAAACTAATATTTAAAAAAAAAAAAAAAAAAACCATGTATACGCAGATTCGGGTCCGATTCTTCTATAACGAATGGTCTGGTTTCTTCAACTCCTCTGTCGGTGGAAAGGTCTCCGGCGAAATTGAAGTCGCCTCGGCAATGCCTTATTGACAGCCCGGCGATGCCTCATTCCGTAGTAATATTATACCTTAATTATAAAAATTCTACCTAATAATTTTAGTATTAAATGTCATACAATAATTACCATAAATAATGTTTAATAATTGACAAATTCAATTAGGAAATAAAAATTACTATTATAAAATCTTTGATAATATGTACACATTGTTTTATTTATTTCGGTTTAATAATATTATATCTTATTTATAAAAATTCAAAATAATACATTTAGTACTATTGAATATTGATTGACTAAAAATTATCTTAATTATTAAAGTAATTAATAGGTATTTAGCTTTAAAAATTTTTCAAATATATGAATTATTATACATAGTAGCATGGAATTAATTAGTAGGACAATTATATTAGGTAATCTAATTAAAAATTTACTTTTTAAATTATATTCCCTTTTTAATAATGAATATTTTCTTAAAGTATATACACAGATTATGCTTATCAATATAGAATTAAAAGTGTATAGATGTATAATATTATTAGTACAAAATCAATTATACTTGCCTTAATAATTAATTATTAATATTATTGCCTAATAATTATGTGTTGTCACCTTTTTCGGGATAATTATTATGGTAATTTATATACATATATATTTTTATACTTAATGTATAATATTATTGGGCACAAAATAAATATACTTACCTTAATATATATAGATTATTTTTAATATAATTTCCTAATTTATTAAAGGTAATTATTCTCATAATTTTTCTTTCCTTCTTTTGTGTAATTATTATGGTAATGTATTTAAATATTGGAAGAGAAAAAATGTTATAATTAATATAATTAATGAAATTATTATTGTAATTTCCACAATATTTGGTAATTATAAATAATATAATTAAGAAATTTGAGAAATATAAGATTTCTTCCGTAAAAATATTTGTGATAATTTCATTAAATTATAATTAATAAAATATGAAATATAATTAAAGAAATGAAATTATAAAATTAACAAAACATGAATATTTATATTTTTTTAAAATATACATACATACACTTTTTAAATTTCTAAATATAATTTTTTAAGTATAAATCTATCAATATAAATTAAAATTAATGAAATTATATTATAATTTTCCTATATACATATTAATAAATATTATGTGTATATACAATGTATTATACAATCATATAAGGATATGCGTCCGATTAGAGTTTATATTTATTCATACAAAATTTAGAATTTATATTTTTATTGATTTCTAAGTACAATTCTCTTAGTTATTAGTATTCATATTTTTAGAATTAATAATATATATATATATATATATATATATATATATATATATATATATATATATATATATATATATATAATACAATTTGGAATAAATCAACTTAATTATATAAATTTTTTCTATAAATTTATCTAAATATGTACATGATTAGAGATTATATTAACCATACAAAATTTAAATTTAAATTCTGTATGTTATGAAAATAGATACTTGACCAAATATATAAAAGTCCAACTATATTATTATATTGTACATTTTAACATTTTTTAATTTTTTATTTTAATTTTAATTTCATAAAAACAAAAAAAAAAAACAAAAAAAAAAATCCGTGCAACACACGGGTAAAACACTACATTTTAAAAAAATTCAATTTCATAAATATCATAAATTAATTAGTACAATATCATTTATATTTATAACAATTAAAGAAAAAAATAAATAATTTCAAATATATGAACCAATGATTTCAAAATGAAACTAATATACAGTTACAAATAAATATAGCATGACTAGATTTACTTTAATTAGTTTTAATTCCCTTAATGATATGACTTTTCTTTATCAGTTTTTTGTGGGAGACTAAGGGAGTGTCTGAGTTGCTGGAAATTATTATTATTTTTTGAATAACATGTGTAAATCTTATATTTTTTAAAATTACAATTTGATAAATATTATAAATT